ACTTGCACAATCGGTGGCTGACTAAATACTTTTTTGCCCCACTGTACTTAAATCTAATATATATATTTTTTGGTTTGGTAAGTTTAGGTCTAATCATTTAATAAGTGGCAATTCAGTACAAGCAATATATATTGTTTATATTATGAATAAATGGATAAATAAAATGCATAGATGTAACAAAATGTTGAAAATCTCTGGTGTTTTCTCTCTTTGTGTTGTTGTTGTTGTTTTTTCCCAAGAGCAAAGCTGGAGAAGGCTTTAAAGCAGCAGCTCATGGATTCACCAAACCAAGCGTCTCGCTCTGCAGGTACGAGTTCAGCAGAATGTTTGGGGAGATGTCAATTAAGGCAAACAAACATGAATCACAAAGAGGATTTTTCCAGTGAACACAAAAGACCTCTCTGCTTAACTCCATATACAGGAATGACATTAAAGCATTGGCAGAAGCGCTCAGACAGTAAAAGAAAGACTAATCCATAAAACACATTAAACATTAAACCAAACATATTTCATGATTAAAAAAATAATGTGAAATTTATGTCTCAGCCAAATAAAAGACAAACAAACAGAAGAACAAAAATGAGCAGCTGCTTATATAATATGCTTATGGTTGTCATATCAATCTTTACATGCTTACTTTTCAAAAATTCTAAAATTTGCTCATTTTCAGTACTCAGAGAGAAGTAGCATACACATAGAATATTTTTATATCTGTGCCGTTCCATGGTGGACCACCAGCTACTCAATATATGAGTCTACTCATATTGAGTTAACTAGGAAACCTATGCTATCTGAACTACACTAATTAGATGTATTTGTTATTAAATTTTTATGGTCAATCAACTTTCTTTCTTTCATCTTTCTTTTTTAAGAAAAAAATGAAAAAGAAAAGAAATTTGAAATCCTCACATCAATTTCTTTCTTTCCACAGAGAAGGAGCTTGCCAGAATGCGAACACAGTTTGTGCAGAGGGTGACAGCAGAAGATCTCACACAGCTACTTGAAGCCCTTGTAACAGACAATGTCTTGAATGAGTTGGAGAAAGAAAGGATACAGGAAATGAACCAAACTAGAGCAGACAAGGCACGCGACTTCATTGACACCGTGAAGAAAAAGGGAGAAAAAGCCTGCAGGATAATGATCAGTCACCTTCAAACCATTGATCCTACAGTTTTCTGTCAGCTAGGTTTGTCCTCTGGGCCATCTGTTCGGTTAGGTGAGAAAAAAAAAAAATTTCTGCTATGATTTTTATCATTGCACAGTTTGCTTGAACGGTGAGAGTATGATGCATTTCTTTTTCTATTGTAAATCGTTTGTCGTTTGTCTTTGGTCAGTTTTCATTTAAATATTTATGGAGTGCCTTACTTGGTTTTTAAACTACTATAAATTTATCTGGAGAAGTGGCGTCCAGTCCATTCTTGAATTACCTTCTGTGAAAAGAAAGGAGCAGTTGGGATATTTATATCATCCCAATTGGTTCCTGCATATTGTTGTTTTCCCTGATGGATGAAAAGGTTGTTTCCCTGAACCACTGGGTTGAAGAATTGATCTTGACTATTATCCTAACTTACACAGTAACAGCTCAGAGCACTGGCAGAACTTTATGCTATCAGAAACTGAATTTGAATAACTTTTATTTGAATTTGCGTTGCTCAGATTGGATCTGAATTTCTCAACTTGAATAAAAGCTTCCAAAACTGAATTTGAAAATTTTTCACCTGTTCAAAGACAAAGCAGCCATTTAAATAAAATATAAGATATTGTTCATCTGTAACTGCAAAAAGAGAATTTAGAAATGTAATTATTGACAAGAGTGAACAAACACTGATTGTGTAATCTACAGCTGCGGCCAAATGTTTGGAGAATGAGAAGTGTTTTGTTTTTTTTTTTCCACACAGTTTGCTGTTTCAGTGATAGTCATATCAGGTGATCAGATGAGTTAGTAGCTTCTCTACTGTCAGGGTCTCTGCAAGCATACGGGGCTCTGAGAGGGTACAAGTTGACAACTTTGGAATTCTATTGGAAACAAACTATCATATTTGTTTGTCAAATCGGAACCCAGGGCAAACTAACCTAAATTGGCGTTTTAAGCTAACAGCCACAAAAGCACAACAGTAACTATTTTGGTTATAATTTGTTTATATTAAGCTTTTTCTTATAGAGGTAATATATTTATTACCAACCTGAGACTGAGGACACAACACTGTGGAACGGCAGTGTTAGTAATAATGCTGGCTTAAGTCCTATTGCCGATCCTGACGGACTGGGGCCTGCCACTCAAAAAGTCCTGTAGCCAGTCACATAGGGTGGGGTGTAGGCCGAGTGTTGCCAACTTTTGAGTGAGATTGTGCGGGATGACAGTATTGAAGGCAGAGCTGTAATCAACAAAAAGTACCCTGATGTATGAGTCTTTGTTTTCCAGATCTGGAGGGTCTCGAAGCAGGTGTAGAATTGAGGTCATCCAGCAGACTGCCTGCAGAGCTGGCAGAACTGCAACTGAGAAGTGAGAGGGGAAACTGAACATATTCAAGAGCTAAATTTAAAGGATAAAATACAATTTCTTTGGTTCAATAAAAGGATCAGGGATTGTTACATCTAATCCTCTTACTGAATCAAAGAAAATTAATTCATTCTGTTTCAATTTAGTGACAATCATCTCCAAACCAACACACTGGATTTCAAATTGAGGTTAATTCAGTTTTAGAAGCTTTTTTTTTTTATCTATTGTTGAGCAAATCAGACTCAATCTTAGCAATGCAAATTTAAATATGAATTATTCAAATTCAGTTTCTGATGGCAAAAAGTTCTGCCCATATCAGAGCACCTGGTCTTCTTGAAATGCTCTATTGGCGTGCTGGAACATGCCTCAGGTGGAATCTACAATGTCCTACTAGGAGACTTCAATGATCATGTAGGCAATAACAGTGAGACCTGGGGTGTGACTGTACTAAAGAGAGTTTATCTATAATGAACCCGTTGTTCAAGCATTAGGATATTTAAAAGTGCACTCGGCACCGGGAAACACTATGTGGCAAGACAATTAGCAATTTTTTAGGAATTTATATTAAATAAACCAACCATATTAGTCAGAATATTTTATGTGTTGTTTTTTTCTGTTAGCAGCACTTGAGAAGTGTCAGCTCAAATTCAAATCTACTCTGAAGAAGAAGTTCCAGTGTGTGTTTGAGGGAATTCCTAAAGCAGGAAACCCAACCCTGCTGAATCAGATCTACACAGAGCTCTACATCACAGAGGGAGGGACCACAGAGGTCAATCATGAACATGAGGTCAGACAGATTGAAACAGCATCCAGGAAATGGCACAGTACAAAAATAACAATCAGACAAGAAGACATCTTTAAAGGCCCACCTGGAAGAGATGAACCGATCAGGACAGTGTTGACAATGGGAGTGGCTGGAATTGGGAAAACAGTGTTAACACAGAAGTTTACTCTGGACTGGGCTGAAGGCAAAGCCAATCAGGACATCCAGTTCATATTTCCATTCACTTTCAGAGAGCTGAATGTGCTACAAGAGAAAAAGTTCAGCTTGGTGGAACTTATTCATCTCTTCTTTACTGAAACCAAAGAAGCAGGAATCTGCAGCTTTGAAGACTTCCAGGTTGTGTTCATCTTTGATGGTCTGGATGAGTGTCGACCTCCTCTGGATTTCCACAAAACTAAAATCCTAACTGACCCTCGAAAGTCCACCTCCGTGGATGCGATACTGATAAACCTCATCAGAGGGCATCTGCTTCCCACTACTCGCCTCTGGATAACCACACGACCTGCAGCAGCCAATCAGATGCCTGCTGAGTGTGTTGACATGGTGACAGAGGTCAGAGGATTTACTGACCCACATAAGAATGAGTACTTCAGAAAGCGATACAAGGATAAGAAAAAAGCCAATAGGGTAATCTCCCACATCAAGACATCACGAAGCCTCCACATCATGTGCCACATCCCAGTCTTCTGCTGGATCACTGCTACAGTTCTGGAGAATATGCTAGAAACCAGAAAGAGGCTAGAGTTGCCTAAGACTCTGACTGAAATGTACATCCACTTCTTGGTGATTCAGGTCAAAGTGAAGAAGGTCAAGTATGATGGAGGAGCTGAGACAGATCAACACTGGAGTCCAGAGAGCAGGAAGATGATTGAGTCTCTGGGAAAACTGGCTTTTGAGCAGCTGCAAAAAGGAAATCTGATCTTCTATGAATCAGACCTGACAGAGTGTGGCATCGATATCAGAGCAGCCTCAGTGTACTCAGGAGTGTTCACACAGATCTTTAAAGAGGAGAGAGGACTGTACCAGAACAAGGTGTTCTGCTTCATCCATCTGAGTGTTCAGGAGTTTCTGGCTGCTCTTCATGTCCATCTAACTTTCATCAACTCTGGAGTCAATCTGCTGGAAGAACAACAAACTGGGGCAGATTTCTACAAGAGTGCTGTGGACAAGTCCTTACAGAGTCTAAATGGACACCTGGACTTGTTCCTTCGCTTCCTCCTGGGTATTTCACTACATTCCAATCAGACTCTCCTACAAGGCCCGCTGACACAAAGAAAACGCAGCTCACGAACCAATCAGGAAGTAGTGCAGTACATCGAGCAGAAGATTGGGGAGAATCCTGGTCAGGAGAGAATCTTTAATCTCTTTCACTGTTTGAATGAACTGAATAATCGTTCTCTTATGAAGGAAATTCAACAGTCCCTGAAATCAGGAAGTCTCTCCACAGATAAATTTTCCTCTGCCCAGTGGTCAGCTCTGGTCTTCATTTTATTGTCATCAGAAAAACACCTGGATAAGTTTGACTTAAAGAAATACTCTGCTTCGGGAGAAGGCCTTTTAAGTCTGTTGCCTGTGGTCAAAGCCTCCAACTACGCTCTGTAAGTTACCATTAAATACACTGTCATCTTTAGAAACTGACGAAAATGAAAATGATCACACTTATTAGTAATAACTTCATTTGTGTGGCACTTTCAAAATACACACATATAAAGGTTCTTCACAGTTTGGATAAAACCACACAGGTATACATGTTCGATTACACAGTGAGACACTAATTGGACGATCTGAGAGGGTGACTGCTGGAATACGGTCTCAGCAGCTCTGCTATAAAGGCAGGAACCTGGCTCTGTATGTGATTAATACAATTTTAAAACACATTCTGAATTTCACTGAAAGCCAGTGTTTTAAGCATTATACGTGCTGTTTTAAGCATTATACGTGCTGTGTTCTTGACCAAGTGAAGCCAGGCTAAGGAGGACTGAGAGAGCCAAAATTGAGACAGGAGAAAATCATAGTAGTGACTACTAAAAGTTCCATATCATCAGTAAAGGTTTGATTTTTGCAATGTTTCTTAAATGAAAGAAATGAGACTAGATGGTCTTAGAGACATGATATTCAAAATTCAGATTTTAGTCAAAAATAATAAAACTTTCAGATGATTTGATATTACCTGCATATGGACTGACCCAAACACACGTTCTTGAAGAAAAGGTCAGCGATGTAAAGTTACAGAATATTTGAAATCCACATATATATCATTTTCTAAATACCAATATGTTGTCAATGCAACATTGTTTAAAATAGCTATACAGCTTTATTATCACCTTGACCTTGATCAGTTTATTGATCTTATAGGAGAGGTCTGTTGTGGAAGTTTTCCATTAAATAAAGCCTGCAGACGAGCAGTGAGCGGTAGCTAACATTCTTTAATCAAAACACACAAAGAACAGAAAACCAAGTTGGTGGAGAGCCTGCATGACCGCAGGGCAGACGGTCAGCAGAGTCTCTCTGAGCCTAACATGGCTCTCAGTTAAATACCTTCTTCAGGAACAAAAGGCAGTACACAGCTGTTTCACACATTAAGGTTCACACCCCCTTGCTAACTCCCAGAGTCCTCAAAGAGAGACAAAAGATTCTTCCTGTGGAGTTGTCTGCTTCCCCCAACTTCCTTACTAGACCCCCACCATTTGTCTTACTGTATGAGTGTGAGACATGTTAAAATCCAGTGGCACCAAGGCATTATACAATAAAATAATGTGATTAATACATAAGTTAAATAAATTCCTATACAGGTCATAGGTCAAATGTGATGTGATATTTTGAAAATTTATATGGAAATTTCTATATGTTGATAATACCTACTAGACCTATAAGAATCATAGTTTCTGAGTTATATTACTTTTTGTCAATTTTCAACCAATAAATCATTAAGTTGATCTTGAAAACCTTGGGGGCTGTTAATATGGCCGCACATTAAACCCCTGCAAAGTTTTATCGGTATTGATTCAAATGTTTTCGACCCATCATGTTTACAGACAAAATGACATGAATGCATGCACACAAACACTACCAAAACCATAACCTCCCTGGCAGATCTAATTATTACATAACTGGTTCAAGAAGTCCTCAAGAAGTGCTGATGAGGACATGCAGTTGTTAATATGAATTCTGAAGTGTCTATCAGATAAGGATAATGCAAACCATTTCAGAGCTTGTCATTACTGTCTCTTCAGACTATGTGCCTGTAATGTCTCAGAGAGAAGCTGTAGAGTTCTGTCTTCAGTTCTCAGCTCCCAATCCTCTAGATTGAGAGAACTGGACCTGAGTAACAACAACCTGAAGGATTCAGGTGTGACGATCCTGTCTTCTGGATTAAAGAGTCTGCACTGCAAACTCAACACTCTTCGGTAAAAATTCTTTAGCTTCTTTAAATAAAAGCCATTTATTTCAAAATATCTTATCTGGTCTTACTCATATTAACTTTTTTTTCCATCCTTGAACAATAAGAAATGAGGAGAGGTTCCGTTTTGTTTTGTTTTTCCCAGATATTGCACAGTCCTTGATGTAATCTAACTGGGTTAAATTAATAGTAACATCTGGGGAATTCAATAGTGATATGTACTTCAATTTTAGCTGAAGATTCAAGGCTTAATTTTTTGAGAGAGACCCAGTAGCTAGTGGCAGACAAAACTGCATAACAAAAGCAGCTGATCTAAGACTAATGATACTATTTTTTTTAAATACTTGAAACTTGAATATCATATTGAAATGTGGCAAAAAGAAACTGTGTGAATCTATTAACGTATTTCCTTTTAAAAAGAAAAAATTAAACCTTGTTTCTCTTTGCGACCTTTGTGGCTGCATTCATGTAGTTACTTATGCTACAAGCCACACTACAAAACCAAAAGCAAAGAACAGGACTTACTGTAATTTAGCTACATACATTACCTCCTGTGTTTTGTTTGGTTTTCCTTTTTTGCATTATTGTAAACTAATCTTAAATTTTCACAGGAATATTTATTGCTCATTCAGCATGAACATGTTGCATGTATAGAAAATGCAAATCAAAGACAAAAATGTGAACCACAGTGAATTTTGAGTGACAAAAGCCTGATATGGATAGTTTACAATTAGACAGTTGAAGCACCCTAGTGTTAGATTAGTGCCCTAAAAGTGTCTGTCTTCTGATGTTCTGTGCAGACTGTCAGGCTGTCTGATCAGAGAGGAAGGCTGTATTTCTCTAGCCTTAGCTATTAGCGCCAATCCTTCTCATCTGAGAGAGCTGGACCTGAGGTACAACCATCCAGGAGAGGGAGGAGTGAAGCAGCTGAAGCAGCTGAGATGGGAAACTCTCAGGTATGGAGAGGCCTGGTGCAGCCACAGGCAGGACGATGGAATAGTCTTGACTGTTGGTGTGGATATGATAGTGTAACTCTGTTAGTTCTGTGCATGTGTGGTAATCTGTCCAGGGTGTTTTACACCATATCCCTCTTTGATAGCCCCAAATTCAATAAGCTGTTAAGAAACTAAAAATGATGGGTATACAGTAGGGGTGGAGCCGAACCCGAATACAGTATTCGGAAAGGCACAAATAACGTGTTTTTTACAAATATTTATTTCGAACAAATACTTTAAAATATATATTTGTATTCGGGAACAAGGGAAAACTTTAAATCAAAAATCTGAGTTTCCTTATGAGACCGCAGTGCATGTGGGTGACGTGTGAAAGAAGTGACTGACACTGGCTGCTCCACACAGCAACAGAGAAGGCTCGGCTGAGCGAAAAAAGACTGAACTGCATCACTATTTTTGTTTTTGTACCTTACCTGGGTTCTGGAGGCAGTTTATAACTTTTGCGAAGATCAGTAGATTATTCCATTACACTGCATTATTGACGTCTGCAGTCGGGTCGGGTGGTCTCATGTTTGCTCTGTTTATGTAGCTCTGTTAGCTCTGTAATTTAGACAAAAGGCTGTTGACAGAGTAACGTTAACGTTTGGTTAAAAAGGTTAAAACAATGCTTGTGTAGTTGTGTCGAATTGTATGCACTTACGCGAGTTGCATGGTACGTTTAAGTTACTTTGTCTTTTGCAGACAGCAAGATATAGGCTATAGGCCAGTTAACCTTAGCATAGCTTCGCGTCACTTGTTAACTTAGCTGAAACTCCCCACATGGATTTGGGCAACCAAATAGAAAAGAGTGTGGCTGCTGCTGAGCCATCTCTTGGTCCTCCACCAGGCAAAAAAACTCAAGTTCTGTGTGGAAGCATTTTACAGTCAGTGCTGCAGAAGAAGCCAAAGTGATATGTAATGTGTGCAAAAGTCAAATCAGCAGACGCAGAAATATCAAACATCTGTCAACATCTGCCATGGATAATCACATGCACTTAAAGCATCCACTCTTCAGACGGTCTGCCAACCCCCCCACAAGCACCAATTCATCATCATAACCATGTTCTGCCCCTGCGAGTCAATTTTGTATGTTCAGCGTCCTCCAAGAATGTCCTCCATTATGTTTCCAATGTACCATTGGGTTCATAATGTTTGCAATGGTATTTTATTAGTTGTTGGTTTAACCCTGGATGAGGCCATGGCTGTTGTTATTTTCTTTTCAATGACGTTCCTTGTTACATGTTCATTGCTGGATTTATGGAAAAACATCAACTAATACTGCATATCCATAATTATTATAATGGATGTAATTGAAGAATACTTACACTATAATGTTTATTTGAAGTGTAACACAAAAAAATGGATTTTTACACCTATTTTGAACTTTACTCGGATACAAATACAAATACTTTCCCCCCCTCAACAAATATAAATACCGGCTGCTCTGCACATCTCTAGTATACAATAAAGCTGGCTCATTATGTCTAGTCTATATAGTCAGATTACACTTAATTGGTTCATTTGTTATGCGCTCTGAACATGACAAGAAAAACTGTTGTTGCTATTCTTCACTTAAAAATAGAGAAAGTGATTTGAAGCCCTTCTTCTACATCTGAATTTTGTTGTTGGATAGTAGGGGACAAACTTGGAAAAAACTGGTTATTAATATAAAAAAAAAATCAACAGAGTTATGGCCATTTGTACATAATAAAACAGACTGAACTGGTATGAATTTTTCTATTTCGTAACAGTTCAGAAGTTTTTTTATTTTCTAAATTACTTATTTTTAACATTTTAAATGTAAGTTTATATTAAAGAACAACTTACATTCCTTGAAAATGTGTGTAATGTCCATGTGTGCATGCTGAAAGAGACTGTGCTGGTCTGACCCCCCTCCTCCTTTCAGGGTCATTCTGGAGCCTGCTGGAGTCCGATGGTTGACACCAGGTCTGAGGAAATGTAAGTGTGTTTTTAATGTGATTCATGAAAACAAAGCAGCACACATTCAACCATCTTCAAACTGTCACATCACTCATTCACATCTCTGATGTCAGGAGTCATTAACAAAGTGTCAATCAATGAACAGATGATGGATCAATAACTGCAGCTGGATTGTGTTTGTTCTCTCCATCAGATTCCTGTCAACTCACAATCGACACAAACACAGTAAATAAAAACCTCAAACTGTCTGACAACAACAGGAAGGTGACACATGTGAAGAAGATTCAGTCATATCCTGATCATCCAGACAGATTTGATGACTGTCCTCAGCTGCTCTGCACAGATCCTCTGACTGGTCGCTGTTACTGGGAGGTCGAGTGGAGAGGAGACATTGAAACATCAGTGAGTTACAGAGGAATCAGAAGGAAAGGACACATAAAAGACTGTGGGTTTGGATTAAATGATCAATCTTGGAGTCTGGGGTGCTCTGACAATGCTTACTCTGTGTGGCACAGTAAGCGGCACATGCGCATCTCCTCTTCTTCCTCCTTCTCCTCTGTTTCTAACAGAGTAGCAGTGTATGTGGACTGTCTTGCTGGCACTCTGTCCTTCTACAGAGTCTCTGACATTTTGATCCACCTCCACACCTTCAACACCACATTTACTGAACCGCTTTATCCTGGATTTAGGTTAAGGTACAACCCTGATTCCTCTGTTTCTCTCCCCCTGTTAGGCAAAATTTAGACTGTTAAAAAAAAACAAAGATGCTCCAGTTATTCCAAGAGCAACATATTGCTTCTCTGTCTTTTTCCACTTAAAGCTTTACCGTCAACATCAGTATGTTGTGTTTCTCCGAGTTAAGCTGATATGATTCAGTTTTTGTGAACAGACACAAAAATTGCTTAACTCTGTATCAACTGCAGCCCTGCACCAGTAGTGCATTGAAAGCATGGAAGCATGGATGCAGCAGCCCCTATTGAAAAAGTCAGACATTGCACCAATGCCTGCCAAAGTTCCATCAAATTTTCCTGCTGTTTGTCTTAGTTAAAGTAGTTATTTTGTAATTCGTGATTGATCAGTAATTATACTAAATAATAATGATTTTTTGTCTTTAAATAATACCAAAGATCATGTTCAAATTATATTACTTGCTAATAAAAAGGGGTTTCAAAATATCATTAAACTGTAATTTCATACAAACACCTTTTGCTGCCAAATCAGACTGTGTTTTGGAAATTGGGTTCCTGAGCCTGGTGGAATACTCCATTTATTTTAATATTTTTCAATAAAATACATCAGCCTTTATGTCTTAACTCCTGTCTCAAAGGGGACCACCGGTGTTCTGAGACTGTCATGCCTTTTTTCTGTTTTCATAATGAATTCGCTTGCTTATTTGTGTCCCTCACTGGATTTATTATAATGTGACAATACCGTTGGAGTGATTTTTTTGGGTTGTTATCTTATGCATGCTGCTAGGGGTCACGTTTGTGTTTTTTGTTTGTATGGTGATTGTATTAAAGGTAGACGCACATAATTAACGCCAGGTGTGTTGTTGATTGCGAGGAAGCAAACAGTTTGTGACCGCTGCACTGTTATGTTAAATCATGTTGGAATAAAGAATCTAAAGAACAAGATAAGTATGGCTGGAGTTATTGGACTGTATCAAGTTTAATAAGTTAATGCATACCAGTGACATCGCGTCACCCCCACCAAGAAACACCTCAGTGGCTTCAAGCGTAAGCTTAGCCTCTACAAATACAAATGGGTTATAAGCTAAAGGACTTTAGTTCAAATTGTTAAATAAAACTAAAATAGATGTTACAGTGTTATTAAGTGTTATTAACCCTCTGTGACGACACTATCAAAGTGGCTTTTTCTGATGCTTTATTTGACATGTAACTTCTAACACTTGAAAGCTGTAAGTGAAGCAGTAGTAGTTTCTTCACACTGCTTTCCATAAAGATTTAATAAAGAATTAAAGAAAGAAAAAGAAAATCTGATTATAATTTGTGCTGTCTTGCCTGTAACTTCTCCACAGTATGCCTTTTGTCCTGTCCTCCGCACATCCTTCCCAAACCAGCCATGGCAGCTGGGCCTGGTTCTGCTGGAGAGTTCTTCCTGGTGTTGCCAAGCGCTTGTTCATAGTGAGCTGCCTGATCATTGGTGTTTTCTCTGTATTATTGTACATATAAATATAAAGCACCTCAAAGTGAAGAATAAAATAAAGTAAATAAAGTGAATAAATAAAATTAAATTGAAATTATGAAATTCCCCCTTGTGGGACTAATAAAGGTATATCAAATCAAATCAAATCAAATTGAAATGATCTGATTATAGGAAGAAGTGACGGCAGGTAGTGAATTAATAATGAACATTAATTATTAATAGGAATATTTCAAGGTTCCCTTACAGATATTATTTCATTATAAAATGAGTTTGTGGTCATAGCTGATTTGTCCTCATCAGAATAAAGTTTATTTTATTCATATCCAGCAGTTGGTGCTATTGCGCCGGTTTCTAATAGGCAAAGAAGAAGACCACTGGTAGAGCAGCTGGATTTCTTCACCGTGTGCTCGGGACTGTAAGTTTTCCCTTATTTTAAACTGTATGCTCGCTGTCAGAGAAGTGTCTGCTTTCACTCTGCTACATATAGAATCAGCAGAAAGCCGCCGCTCGTCTCTTCCAGTGACTTTGATAACTTTAGTCGGGGCGGAGCATTTCCAGCTGGTTTCCGTTATATGAGGCAACACAGCCATTTTCCCCAAATAACTCTAACGACCGCTGTTTTTAAATACCCCAACCTCAGTCACCCCAACCACTCACAACTTTAAAAGTCGGTAAATAATAAAATCTGTTTCTGTTTACTTTCTGCTTTCCGTCGGGATGTTAATCCTTACATACTTTGTACAAGTTTGAGAGCAGGTTCATTGTGTGTCAAATTCCTGCGTGTAAATGGTAAATGGCCTGCATTTGTATAGCGCTTTTCTAGTCCTTAAGGACCCCAAAGCGCTTTACACTACATTCAGTCATTCACCCATTCACACACTGGCGATGGCAAGCTACATTGTAGTCACTGGGGCGCACTGACAGAGGCGAGGCTGCCGGACACAGGCCGTGTCCTCTGACCACCACCAGTAGGCAAACATGGGGTTAGTATCTTGCCCAAGGATATTTGGCATGCAGCCAGGAGGCAGCCTGGGACCTTCCACCGACCAACCACCGACCTTCTGATTAGTGGCTGACCTGCTCTGCCACCTGAGCTACAGCCACCCTCTTATGTTGGCCGTGTGAGAAGTTATGTTTACAACACTTTCACTTTAAGGAGGATGTTGTTAATGTTAATGTTAATTACAGAATTACAAAATTATGCGTGTTGTTATGATACCTGTAGTGATGGAGTGTTGCCAGCTGTGGGCGCAGCAGCATCCACGCTGGCCTTTGAGACGCTGCTCTCGACTGAATGCTAGTGATGTGCGGATCGATCCTGAAATATCGATTCCTCCGATACCAATCATTTATGTTCTAGAATCGATTCTCACATTAAAATATCGATATTTTAGTAATTTAGGGTAAATTTGTAGTTTATCATTAACAGGAACACAGTGGAAAGAAACTATAACATTCGGATTGTCTACATTCAAAGGAACTACTTTCTCTTCCGCCTTTCATAGTCATGTGCGAAATACGGCTGTATAATAACTCGCAGCCCCTTGGCGTACGCACTCACAACAATGGCTGAGAGTAATTGTGCAGACGTATTTTACCTCCACAAACAGCTGAGACGTGGTTTGCAATACATGTGGCAAAAAAGTGAGGTGTTGTGGCCATACTTGCCAACCTTGACACCTCAGAATTAGGGAGACATTCAAAAGGGCTGTTGGGGAGGGGTGATAAATACATTTTACATTGTTTATTTATCGGATAAAATACGTTAAATGTCACCGTTATTATTGGCCGGCCCGGAAAGAGCGGGGTGTCCAAATTCAGAGGCTGCTTCCACCTGAGGACCCGGCCTTCGCTGTCTAAAGAAAGCCGGGTAGTACGTCATGAGCTCCCTTGGTGGAGTGAAACTGCCGTCTGCTCCTTGCTATCTAAAATATAACCGGGCGCTGGCGTAACGGAACCCTCCCGAGGGATTAATAAAGTTAATTTTAATTTAATCTAATCTAATAACTTTAGTCTCAGCCAAACCGATCTACTCACGAACAAGTAAAACACTGAAAAAGCCAAACAATAACGTTTTTAAGTTATCAAAGTGACTTATATATCATGTTTAACCCGAGTAGTAAAAGACCACGGGGTTTGAAAACGATGTGTCGGTCGGCTCAGATATTTGAAGTTTACACAGCTACATTCTCACCTGAAAATATGTTAAAAGTTGTTTTGCGACATAATGATTTTTTTTTATTTTTTTTGCGACCCAGAAAGAGAAATAAGAGTAATATTAAAACTAAGTAGCTGCAGCCATTGTTGGAAACTGGAATTGGCTGGGCCGCGCTATGAATTCTGAGATATGGTTTTTCTATTTTGTTGTCCGGGTGGAAAATCGGGAGAAATTCGGGAGAATGGTGGCTCCGGGAGATTTTCGGGAGGGGCACTGAAATTCGGGATTCTCCCGGAAAAATCGGAAGGGTTGGCATGTATGGTTCTGGCAACATCACTAACCTTGTCAAACACCTCAGAGTAAATCATATCACAGAATATGACGAGCGTATGTTGAGGCGAACTGAAGAGGAGGAGATGGACAGACGTCTCTCACGGAGTCCTTTAGTGCTGCAGGCAGGCAAGGTGTTCAAATAGGCACAACTTCAGTTTTTTAATTTCTACATGATAACTCTGCATTATTAAGTGATAAGAACAAGTAATCTGATGTCCTGTAATCATTATGAAGCTATAATTTGAGATACAATAAATAAAATACGTTTTTGTACAAAGTATCAGTATCGGATCAGTATCGTCGATACCACCCTGAATATTACTTGGTATCAGATCGGAAAGGAAATCAGTGGTATCGCACATCACTACTGAATGCTGGTTATTACTTAGGTGGACCTCAGAAGCGCTCTATACAGGAGGGCAAAAGTAAAATGATGTTTAATAATGTTTTTAATTACAGTAGGATGGCGTCACCATGTCATGACGTCATTGTGACGTGGTAGGGCGTCATATTGAAAAAAATAGTGTTTTACAGCCCTTTCAATGGCCTTTCATATGCTATATTACTCAATATGGTTAAAAAAAATCAAGGTAACCTTTGACCTCGAACTTTGACAAAGTGAACTTTGACCTAACAGTGAAGGTAAAGGTCAAATGGTCATTCCTTATTTTCACATACATTTTTCATTTAAATTATTATGCCTTACATGTTTTCATGTCTTAGGTGAAACAGGGCATGATATTATGGGATAGTAGATATTTTTTTCCTTCTAAACAAAGTGTTGTACAGTCTCCCTTCTTTCTTCTTGTAATAATGTCAGACATGCTATTTATACATAAAAATCTATAGCTCAAGATTTGTTGCAGACATGATGTGGGAAACCTTGCCTGGGTCGAAATTATCCTGGATTACACTGTGAAGGTATGAAATAGAAACAAAATGTAAAGGTTAGAGGAAATGATTAATTAATGGGTCCACTCTGTGCCTACTACATGCCCATTAATAACAGTAGTGACCAGGTTCACCATTTTCAGCAGCTGGAAGACGTAAATTAAGAAATAGTCTGTAATGCTCATGAAAGCAGATTGTTACTGGTGGAAAGATTATCCTAAACACAACCTTTGGAAGGAAACATGACTTGCAGTTTGCATTTTTTTTGTTGTTTTTAATCAGTGTCTTACTCTGTATGAACTGTAACATCTGTCTTTTTTAAACACTTTACTTTCTTCACCAATCAGCTGAAGTGTTTGAAAATATTTGCTGGATTGACTGAATTTTCCAGTCAAAGTGATCCACTGGTCCAGTTTAAATCCGACCTGAAAACTGTCACACTCTGGGACGGGTGTCTACATGTGTACTGGTTTCTTAATGTAGGGTGGGGTATCTGTTTTTGAAGTTTCCTCCTTATCAGTCAAAAACAGGTGATGCATGTTCACAGATTTTAGTTACTCACTGTTGGAGGGATTTATAACCCACTGACCCTAAAGGCTGGTCAGTTTAGAACATTAGACACTTCATTCAAACACAGAGGGTCAGATTAGAACTAGATACTCGTGTCAGTGAATGCATCCTGTATGTTCTGGAATGATTTGTGTTTCCTCTGCAGGTAAAGGTAGAAAGTGTGTGTGAGCTGATGTGGATGTGAATTCAGCAGCATGGATCAGTGTGAGGACAGAGAGGAGGGAGTCCCCCCCTCTAAAACCACTCTGTGTGGGGAACATGAGAGCCAGACCACAGCTCAGAGGTGAGATGACCATCTCTAACTGTCCATGACTCTTCTCCATGTCACAGCTCAGCACTCACATCACTGCTCCATCATTATTCACAGGAACCAATCTGGAGCTGAACCCAGCTGTGTGTCCTTAAAGAGTGATGCCTCAGTTGAACGCCACATTGAATTTAAACAACAACCCCCTGCTGCA